TTTTTTTCTATCTTGGTATTGGACTATGTTGCCACATGAGCCTTTGCAGGTTGTACTTCCACTCTTTTTCACGACCCTCGGGTCACGCTAACTAGCTCTCTGGCTGCCCCATGGATTGGTAAGTAGTATGTTCTTTCATATTGCCTTGGCTTTGAACAACCTTTGCGAAGACTTGGAACGCTGTAGTTAGTCTTACAAAGAGAGCAGTTGCTATACGGATAATAAACATCTCACTCGCTTGCTCTCAAAAGACAAGCATTAAAGTATTTCCAAGACCTTATGCTTCTTCTGATAATTAGATTCTTACATAACTTGGATGAATAAATTACAACAAAGTGTGTATCCAGAGAATCCTGAGAACTTAACAAGGCCCTGAACAGGATAAAAATTTGCATATTTAATCGTGGATAGAACTTCCAAAAGCACCAATATATGGCGTAACACAATCTAAAGATGGAACAAACTTGTGAAAGGCTTTGTAAAGATAACAATAAAGTTGAAAATGTTGGCCATGATTTTGACGCTTCTTTTATTATTTTCATCACCTGCATGTCATAATTCTCTGAATATTTCATCCTCAAGGGCAGATACAACTAGGGCCTGCCTTCATCTGTCTAATAATGACAGGCAAGTATTTTAAAATTGTTACAAATTCAAAACGATCACCGTCACCAGAAAGAAATAGAATAACTTACTGGAAACTAGCATTTTGCTTCATGGCAGTACGCAGCTGGTAGAAGCGTTGAGATACCTCGCAGTCGGTGAGAGCGACGGTGCGTCAAGTGCAGTGAAGCTGCTCCTTTTTCACCTCGGTGGATGGCTAGTGGTGGAAAAGGGTTCGTCTTCAGAATCAACCGAGAGCCATGCTTACTAATTTTTGTAAAATTCTATTCTATCCGTCCCACTTGTTAAGGCAGGTTCTTCTTGCCACTTTACCGTAACCTCTTGTAGGCCTAGTTTCCTCCCCGCTATATTTGCAATTCCCTGTTATTTCAGTATTATTTCCATATGTAATTCTACATTTTTCTAAATGACAGCAAATGGGGGGTTTAGTCTGCCCGTAGGCTTCTCATTGTTGTAATTTATGCGTGGCAGCCCTGTCTTATGGTATGCAAATGTAATTACAATTTTAAATGTACACCTCTTACTAACTTTTGAAGAAGTGGGTGATGATAAGGTGGATTGGACCTGGTGGAATCATCTCAGCTTAATGATGGTATTTATTGGGTTAAGTCATAACTAATAATTTGTTGTTTTGGAGGACTTGGGATTGCACCGTGAGAAGAATACTCGAATCCTATCGTGTTTCTAGCCATATCAGTTTATACGTAACTGGGTTTGGTGGGTCTTCATGCATTGGTACAACAATGTTCGGCTAATTTTTGCTGGTAGCGAATGTTCTCCACGAACATGGCAGATGTTCTCTTGGTATGATTGGTGTGCAAAAGGCGATATAATTCATTTCATCTTTTCAAGTTTGCTTCCATACGTCATTTAACAGAGGGTTGATAACCTTTTCTCCGGTCATAAGATGTAATAGGATGAAAAGTTTGCATAATTAGGTTAAATATTGATACCTTTTGGCGTCGTAGGTACCACTATTGGAAATAAGAGATGGTCACTCCATTACAACTTTAGAAGACGACTTTTAATGGTCATTTAGAATAAAGATGATATTTTTTTCTCTGGTTATCAATTACAAGATTCTTAAAGGGTTGTAAGTGATGGGGAAATATTGGCCTCTTCCCTTTTGGTATATGAATAATTTGTTCTGCTTGTAAGTGGAAAAGGCGGAGGAAAGTAGGCTTTCTGCGCCTTTTTTACCGCCGGTGCAAAGCCTGATTTCTCTGATAGAGAAGAAAAGCATCAAAAACCTGTGTACCTTCGGCTATTATTTTGGAAAATGACGCTTTAGAACCAATCTAGCTAACGAGGCGCACAACAACTGTTTACTAAAAGCCGAAAACCATTGCGGAATATGGTGAATTTCTTCATAAACAATGGACCGTAAAATATCAGCATAGTTAACAGTGATTAACCTAGTCATATCTCCAAGAGATTGAGCTTAGGGCGTTGGACAGACCATCAGTGTCTAAAATAAACAACCTTTGCTTGACTTCTTTGTTGCTTAGATATTAACTTCACCTTCATCTTCTTCTAGACTAGCCTTATGAATAATTGAGGGGGTGAAAATAGTTGACATCAACAGCCCATGACCATGGATTTAGACGTCTTTGTCGACCTTTCACCCAAAGGCAATCATCTATGCCGCTTTTACATTGTCGGAGAAATTTTTGTGTCTTTAAGCTAGCCAAATTTAAGGAAAATGCTTAACCATGTCTAAAGTCACTTGGAATAGAATGTTCATTTTTATGAACCCTACTTTTTTGTTCCTCTTTCACCGATTAGATCAATCCACAAAACTCAGATAAAAGATAAAGTAAATAAATAAACAAACGGAATATCCACAGTCCTTATCTGAAGTGAAAGAATAAAATTTGCCTATAATTCTCGTGAAAGAAACCATTTTCACTTTTCCCCTGTTTAAACACAATAGAAACTTGGAGTGTAAAAATAAATTAAGCAGCCCGAGGGTTAAACAAACATGCACTGTATGTTATACGAATATTGCGACCACTGGCAGCTGAAGCCATGATGCAAAAGTCAAC